GTGTCCTGAGGCAATCTCTTGAGATATAAAAGACAGAAGTGAGCAGTGAGATGGGGGACTTCATACCACCAAGAAAGCAGTGCCAGGAGCAGAGCACATCCTTTGGACCTGGGGTCCCTGTGCGGAGAAGCTGCTAGTCCGGGGGAGCACTGAAGAGAAGAAGGCTGATGGGGAGACGCCTTTGCCTGGAGCTGATGCCCTGAATTTGGACTTTTAGCCTACTTTACTGTGAGGAAATACTCTCTGTTAAAATCATCCACTTGTGGTATTTCTGTTATAGCAGCACTAGATGACTAAGACAGGTGAGCAGCCGGAGTGTTTTCAGAAGCCACCATTTTCCCCACAACATGATATGCCCACTGGCTCCAGTCACCTCTTGAAATTCCTCTACTGTTAACTCTCCAGCATCTCACCCTGCTCTGGTCATGCTGGGGTTTGGGTCTCCCTAAAACGTACCAGACACGCTCTCACCTGCTGGGCTATGCTCTGGCGTTTCCTCCTCCTAGAACAGTCTGTTCTCAGCAGTCTCTACGGTAATTCCTTTGCATCTTTCAAGTCTTAGCTCTGATCATTGTTTCCAAAGAATTCAATGAATTAGGCTATTGATGTTGCAGGACAAATCACTACCCCCAAAGGTAGAGGGACACATAGGCACTCTGCTTCTGGGCTTTTGCTCTGGAATGATTCTCTGTACCTGCCTACGAGTCCCTCCAGTTTTGGAGGCCAGCCTTTTCCTGTGACCTCAAACTCTTGGTTCAGTATGTTCAGCTTTTTTATGGAGGATGGGAGTGATGACTTTCAAGATCTTTACTAATCTGACCAAAACGTGAAAGTTTTTGTTTGTGTTTTGTATCATTACTATTGTTTTCTTTTACTTTCTTGATCGTGTTTATTCATGCTGCTTTTATTCTTCCAGTGCCCTAATTTACATGTTTACTCTTTGGTAATGATCTTTTCATTTTGTGAGTAACCAGTGTATCTTCCCTTTCCCAGCCATGAAGGTCAGTGGTGCTCTTTCATTGCTGTACTCCTACGCTGGAAGTTGTTAAAGTTGATGGGCATGTGAAATATATATGTGTTTGCAAAATCATCACAGAGTGCTTCCAAGTTTTTAGAGTTAAAAATGTATTTATTTTTCCTTACAAAGCCAGGTTTCACTAGGTAGTGTTTCCTAGAAACATTATTTTGCTTTTCCCTGCACTAACTAAAAATAAATATGCTGCTGTTACTGCTTATCCCGACTGTGCTGCATTTTTCATAGAACTTACCACCATGCTTCATTATATTGTTGTTGTTAGTTGCTCTTATCTAGTGCTGCTGTAACAGAAATACCAGAAGTGGGTTGGCTTTAACGACCAGAAATTTATTCTTTTTCATAGTTTAGGAGGCTAGAAGTCTGAACTGAGGGCGTAAGCTCCAGGGGAAGGCTTTCTGTCTGTGTGGACTCTGCGGGAAGGTCCTTGTCATCAGTCTTCCCCTGGTCTAGGAGCTTCTCAGTGCAGGGACCTTGGGTCCAAAAGACACGCTGTGCTCCTGGCTCTTCTTGCTTAGTGGCAGAAGGTCCCCTACCCCCACCCTGCTCGCTTCTCCCTTTTATATCTCAAAAAAGATTGACTCCTGTAGGTTTCATCCTGCTTCATTAAGATAACTGTCTCTAATCCTGTCTCATTAACATCTTAGAGGTTAGGATTTACAACACTGAGGTAATTACATCAGATCACAAAATGGAAGACAGCCATACAGTACTGGGAATCATGGCCTAGCCAAGTTGACAAACATTTTTTTGGAGACAATTCGATTCGGAACTGTTGCTGTGGAGTCAATTCTGACTCATAGCGACCCCATGTGTGCACAGCTCCATAGGGTTTTCAAGGCTCTGATCTGTCAGAGCAGATTGCCAGACCTGTCTTCCAAGGAACCTCTGGGTGGCTTTCAACCACCAGCCTTTTGACCAGCAGTCAAGCGCTTACGACTTGGGCCACCCAGGGAACTTGACATTATATTTTGTTTATTTACCACCCACGCCCACAGAAGTTATGATCCATGTGTCTCTGGGTATTTCTGGTTTGTTCAGTGCTGTATCTGCTTTGCCTGTGTGAAGTAGGCTCTGTGTGAATATTACCTAGTTTTAATAAATGACAGAGCCAGATGTAAGTTTCTGGTGCAGTGAAGTGCTTAATATGGCTGTTCTAGCCATAGTCTTTGTAACTCCAACCAAATGATTGGGTGGGACCATGGTAATAAGGTATATGGCACACAAATGAGAGAACTGGTCGGTCAGCTTTGCCATTCTGCTAGGCTTAAAGTGAGCCATACCAGAGGTACGAAGAGAGGACCTCACCACCACCAAAGAAGTAGAAGCAGGAGTGGAGTGTGTCCTTTAGACCTGGGATCCCAGTGCTGAGACCCTCCTAGACTCAGAGACAGAGAGTTGTAGCACTGAAGACGGCAAGATGGCAAAAAGCAACAGCAGAGGAATGGCAACAGCAGAGGTAGCAGAACCAAGAGACTGCCAGGAGACCAACAGGAGACGGCCTGGTGGGCTTCCCAGCCCATAGAGCGAGAAAGCTGAGTGCCTCTGACAGAGGTAGAGTAGGGTGCTTTTCGGCACTTGGTGAACCTAGGTTTGCTGACCCAGAAAGCTAGAGCTGAGCACCTTCAGGCCGATGCCTCCTTGCAGACTGGGGTGCCTCAGAGCACTTACTAGAAGAGCTAAAAGAGCTTTGTAACATTTGCCGAAGCAGGGCAGAGGACAAGGGGCCAGAGAGAGGTGGGCTGGTGAGACTGTCATGATGGAAGAACTGTATCCTGAGTCTTCCTGAGCCTGAATTGTAACCAGTTACTTCTCTAATAAACCCCATAATCATGAGTATTGTCTGTGAGTTCCGTGTGGCCATTGCAATGAATTATGGAACTCAGAAGAAAAGTAGAGAGTGCCTTGGGAGGGACTGTTGGTACCAGAATTGGTAAAGATGGCAGAGAGAGGAGGCATGTCTAACCTCTGCTTCATAGGAATCAGCCTTGAGCTGTTGTTCTTGATTCTCATTCCCCCTTGTGAAGTTAGAGGAGGTCAGTCATTGCCTCCGGCGCGCCATTATTACAGAGGGCCTGAAGGGAAGTAGTCTTGCCTGAGACACTGGCCTTTGCCAGAAGAACGAGATCCAGGTTGTCTGAATTGAATAGGATGTTTCCTTTGTTTCCTGTCCCCGCTACCCAGCAGGCTCTAGATCATCCAAGTAATTGAGGATTAATAGCCAGAATAACAAGAAAACTGTAGACATATGCACAGAAATGTAGTTGTCAGGAATTCAGCCTTTGGCATATTGAACTGCATTCTGATCCTGGGTCAGCAACATGCCATTTGGTTAACATTAAGCAAGTGATTAACTGATGGTAACTTTCCTCGGTATAACCCATTTGAAGCAATATCTGCTTACGGGGGGCATGGGGAATAATGAGCTAGTGTGCTGAAAGCTTTTTGTAGATCCCTTCAAATATTGTAGTTACTCAATGAATGCAACGTTTTTTCATGAATATGTTGTAGGAATGGAAGTTAGGGTTTTTGATGGCTTTAAAATATGTAATCTGCTGCAGTGCAGTGAAGGAGAATTTTGAATGTGGCACTGGATCAAAGATTGCTGTGACACTGTTATACCAGGATTATTACAAATGACCTTGACAGCTCACTTCACCCAGTAGCCTATCTGTTCTACAGTTGCTCATCTGTTCAGTAAAATTGGAACATCAGAAGTGCAGTGCAGCTGTCTTTTGTGTCCTCACTACATGTGGGAGCTAAAGGGTTGATGCTATTTCACAAAAGCCAGTCCTGCAGCACAAACAATTCCAGTGGTCAGGGTTCAGCTGTTCATGCTTGCATGCCTTTCAAGGGCTGTAAATGTGAGAAAATTTTGTAGTGGAATGTCCACAGGGTTGATGTGTAAGTGTCTGTTTCCCAGGATGCGCGAGTAGTATAACAGCTAAATCCCCTGCACGTGAGTGAACTTATTAGAAAATGTGAATCTTAACCTCTTGTTCATGGTCAGCAAACCCAAGGGCATACTCTTGATTTTTCAAAGATTGGGATCTTTGTCATCGTAAAACATTAGTGTGTGTGTGGGTGTTTGGGTGAGTGTTGAAGGGAGAGTCACTCATAATTGATGTACAGTAGCTTTGGGTCTCAAAGTTTGAAAATTGTGATATCTAGATTTTCTTGCTTCCTGTCTCTCAGCTGATCTCTGTTTACCTTTGCAATACCCTTGCCTGTCTCCATGAAGTGACAAGAGTGCATGATAGTGCACCTGTAGAGTTATTGAAAAGTAGGTGAGAGACATGTAAAAATTTGCAATTCCTCAAAATAATATTTTCTTTTCAGCAGGTTGTCCTGTCAGTCCCTGATAACCTGGAGTTCTTCAGGGAAATATGACAAGCTCAGGGCCTTTGGTTGGGTTGCCCCTTTGTGCAGGCCACTGGGGCCCCCATGGCTGGTGAGGGGCAAAAGGAAAAACTGCCAGTCCTGCAGTGTTTCCCAGTTGGTAACATTTCATTCTGCTTTCTCCCTGTGCTTCATGTTTTGTTAAATATTCTGCTGGCTCTTGTGCAAGGAGGTGAACTTTTTTTTCCACAAGGAAGAGATGATCCGAATGTGGAAATAGGGCTTTCACTGTAGAGCATTTCTCCAGTTGATGGTATTTGTTCTGACTGTTCTAGACCATAAAGGTAGAAAGGAGTGTGTCTACAATTGGTCAGAGTCAGACTGTGGAGAAAGAGGTTTATCGTGTTGGAAGTATTATTAAGTCTATGAGACAGGATGCAGTCTTTGAGGAAGTGAATGTAGACTGTAAAGGGATGAGGCTAACCCCTAGAGTAGGCCTTAGTAGAACACAAAACCTGTGTCAAATCCCCATGAAATCTCAGTTCCCCAGGACTGTCAGCCTCACCCTTCCTTTCACACACATGGGAGTAATCGTATCTTGCTGAACCAAATATGTGGGAATTTTTAGGACTCAGTGGCTTTTGAGGATGTGGCTGTGGACTTTACTCAGGAAGAGTGGGCATTGCTGGATCTTTCTCAGAGGCAACTCTACAGAGATGTGATGATGGAAATCTTCAGAAGCCTGGCCTCAGTAGGTATGGATAAAAAAAAAAAAAAACCCAAACCCATTGCCGTCTAGTCGATTCCGACTCATAGCGACCGTATAGGTCAGAGCAGAACTGCCCGACAGGGTTTACAAGGAGTCCCTGGTGGATTTGAACTCCCCAGTTTTTGGTTAGCAGCCACAGCTTTTACTTCATTTAAAAATTTTATTTTTTTGTGACCAAATACGTCATTCCCGTCGATGTTACTCCACTATGTGGGCCGAGGAATGGGAAAACATTGTTAAATAAGGCACATATGGTCATTTGCTCTCTGGAACATGCATATCTTGGCTTCCCATGAATACAGAGAGCTCTGTATTAAACTGACTTCTCATTTCGATTGTGTTTAAAAGCATTAAGGCCCTTTTAATGTTATAAATGTGAGTGTTGACTTCAGGGGTTTCTTTGGTACACAGAGTCAATATTTGTGCTCTAGGACCATGTCAAGAGTCTTTTGTTTATTACAAATTTGACGTGATTATTTTGCTACAAATGAATTCACACCTGCCAATCACCAGAGACCCTGAGGATCAAAGTATTGGCTCAGTGTCAGGGAAGTGTTCATTGCTTCTCCCTGTCTTCTCTAATGCTATGCCTTTCTCCATGATCACCACGTGAGCTACACCATTTGTTCTCCCAGAGTAGCAAGAGGAAGACCTTAGGAGAGTGCAGATAGCACTTGTCCAGGACCACTGTTTCAGGGGCACCAGGAGGCAAGAATCGTGTAAAGGACAGGGCCTGCATGGAGGGAATGAGATTTGAAAAAATCAATTAGAAAAAGTCTCTTTTGGGTTGAGGAGTATGTGCTTCACAGATACCTTGACCTTGTTTTTCTGACTTTCATCAATCCTAACACACCTGGCTCATGGAGAAAGACTGTTCTCTTTTCCTTTTTTAATGTTCCATGTGCCTTGTGTCCAATACCTTTCTACTTTGCTCTTCTAATTACACCCTATTTATGTCATCATAACTCTCAATCTTCATGGAAGTATTTCCTAGTAAATTGTTTTCTCAATATTGCCAAAGTATGGAGACAGCAAAATGCATAAGAAGCTTTCTTTGCTTACAGCTACCTTTTCCCTCTGAGTATTTTCTCTCCTTCTTGTTTCATGTGAACCTCACCTTAAATGATTGGGTCAGCTTCTCGAAACCTTACTGATGGAGTCAGGCTATCCACTGAAAAGATAATAGTACGATTCATGAAAAATGACACCTGGTCCTCGATGGTAGGAGAAATCTGTGAATTGCATGGCATTGAAGATCAGGATAAAAACCAGAAAACACATGTGAGGTGAGTTTGGTTTACGCGAGAGACAGCAGTGCTTCAGGAGAGAGTCAAGAAGGTATAATGACATTGAAGTATTTATATATGTACGGAGCCCACGTGGGACAAATGGTTAAGCACTGGATTGCTAACCAAAAGCTTGGCAGTTCGAACCGATCCAGTGGCTCTGTGGGAAAAACACCTGGCAGTCTGCTTCTGTAATAGTTACAGCTATGAAAGCCCTGTGGGGCAGTTCTCCTCTGTCACATGGTGTCACTGTGAACTGGAATTAACAGCACTTAAAGACAAAAATATACACACTCACAAATACGGATGCGTGTACACACACATATATGTATAAAAACCCATTGCTGTTGAGTCTATTCCGACTCATAGTGACTCTGTCCGACAGTAGAACTGCCCCATAGGGTTTCCAAGGGTGTAATCTTTCAGGAGGCGGACTGCCTCAGCTTTCTCCCATGTAGCTGCTATTGTGTTCAAACTGCCAACTTTTTAGTTAGTAGCCAAGTGCTTAACCACTGCACCAGCAGGGTTCTAAGGGTATTTATGCATATATATGTATATATTTATGTGAATGTATGAATGTGTGTATATATGTATATGCACACACTCACACACACACAGACACTTTTCACTTTTCGACGTGGTGAGGTTCCAAAGACCAGATAGTTTTGCAAAAATCGGCATTATGTGAAAAGGAAGGATTTTTTGTTTCTGTTTTCAGACCATCCATTTGTCCAATTTTTTTTTTATTTAGGAAATATGATCGTAGACATAATAGCTAAGATTTATTAATATACTCACTACTGTGGCGAGTTCATTTATGAATTATTCGTCTGTAAGGAAGGAGGCTTGGAGGAGACAAAGCTGGATAAAGCTGGGCTGTGTGCCTGGAGGGCCCACGGCTGAACCGCTTCACCTTCCTCCTGTGCTGGAGCTCCCTTCGTGGAGCCACCTCCAGGGCTCCAGTCCCACCCCTACAAGCCCTGTGTTCCAGAACCCAGAGCCTACTCTCTCCAGGCCTGGTGAGTCAACCAAGGCTTGGGGCTTTTGTGAGGGAGGTGTTACCCTGGCTACACAACCATCCCCACCGAGGTGGAGGCTTCAGGCCAAGTTCACCTCACATTGGGATGTCATGAAACTTGGAAGGATTTCTTCAAACACCCTCTCTGTTGTACTTTCTTTCCTGCCTTTCCGCCCCACAGCAGTTTTGAGTTGCAGGCCCTCAGGTCATGTAGGAGATAGGAACGGAGAGAAGGTGCCTGCTGGTTGTGCACTGCCTGTGTGTCCACCTGGAGGCTGTGGCCATAGAGGAGCCTGGCCGTGCCTAGCAGCTGGATGTGGCAACCTTGCCAGCAAGAGGGACTGGGGGCATGGGGTAGCACTGTTTGTGACCTCTGAGGTCACTCTGAGACCTTCCTCATTAATGTGCAAAATAATCAGATAGTCGATTCTTTATATTGTCGCAAATGTGAAATGTCAGATGAAATAGTTGATTATTAGGAGTAGGGATGTTTCTGTGTGTGTGTGCGCGCGCGCATCTTATACCTGTTGCTGTCTTGTCTGTTCTGACTCTTGGAAGTACTGCTGTGTGGGTTTGAACCACCAGCCTTTTGGTCCCATGGGGTCACTAAGCTGAAATCAACTCAACAGCACTTAACAAGAACAATTATTTATATATATACATATACGCACTGACACATACGGCAGTACAAACTTTTCTGCCATCGAGCTGTCTTATATGTGTATATAATACTAGCTCTAATATTGTGTGTTTACAGAATTTTCATAGTATAATATTCTCATAACTGTCAGATATTTAATATTTGAAACATTTCACTTAAATACAATTGTCAGCACCATATTTTAGAAACACAGTAAAAATAATGGTAGCATGTCTGCTAGATGATTTAATCTATGAAACAGACAATTGCAAACAGAAAAATACATGTTTAATGTGTATGGTAATGGTGAAATAGTAGCAAGTTTGTATCCAACAGTATGCTGCCTGTTTTTAACAGAAGGCACATGTTAGAGAACCTCTGTGAAAGTAATGAAGACAATCATTGTGGACAGACCTTCAGCCAGATTCCAAATCTTTCTGTGCTAAAAAGAACTCCTTTGGAAGCATATCCTTCTGAATGCCTTGAGTGTGGAAAGTCCTTGATGAATCATTCATCACTTAAGTGTCATATCAAATCTCACTCTGGATGCAGTGCTCGTCAGTGTCAGGAATGTGGAGAAGCCTGCAGTTGTCCCTCTTACCTCAGCACTGCTGTGAGAATTGTAACTGGAAAGAAGTCCTATGAATGTAATGAATGTGGTAAAGCCTTTCGTCGTTCCTCAAACCTCACTATACATATGAGAATTCACAGTGGAGAGAGGCCTTTTGAATGTACGGAATGTGGCAAAGCCTTTAGTCACTCCACACACCTCACTTCACATATGAGAACTCACAGTGGTGAGAGGCCTTTTGAATGTAAGGAATGTGGCAAAGCCTTTAGTCACTCCTCAAACCTCATTTTACATATAAGAACTCACAGTGGCGAGAGGCCTTTTGAATGTAAGGACTGTGGGAAAGCCTTTCGTCGGTCCTCACACCTCACTACACATATAAGAACTCACAGTGGTGAGAGGCCTTATGAATGTAAGGAATGTGGTAAAGCCTTTCGTCGGTCCTCACACCTCACTACACATATAAGAACTCACAGTGGCGAGAGGCCTTACGAATGTAAGGAATGTGGCAAAGCCTTTAGTCAGTCCTCAGTCCTCACTACACATATAAGAACTCACAGTGGTGAGAGACCTTTTGAATGTAAGGAGTGTGGCAAAGCCTTTAGTCAGTCCTCATCCCTCGCTACACATGTAAGAACTCACAGTGGTGAGAGGCCTTTTGAATGTAAGGAATGTGGCAAAGCCTTTATTCGGTCCTCAAAACTCACTGCACATCTGACAACTCACTTTAGAGAGAGACTTTATAAATGTATGGAATGTGGCAAAACATTTTGTTACTCCTCACACCACACTATGCATATGAGAACTCACAGTGATGAGAGGCCTTATGAATGTAAAGAATGTGACAAAGCCTTTTTTCGGTCCTCACACCTCACTAGACATCTAAGAATTCATAGTGGAGAGAGGCCTTATGAATGTATGGAATGTGGCAAAGCCTTTCGTCGGTCCTCACACCTCACTACACATATAAGAATTCACGGTGGAGAAAGGCCTTTAGTAAGGAATTTGGGAAAGCCTTATTCAGTGTTGAGTGCTTACTGAACATAAATAACTTCACAGTGGAAGAGACTTTATGAATGTAAGGAATGTGGGAAAGCATTTAGTTATTTGTCATCTCTCATTGAATACATAAGGAATCACCCTGGAGAGAAAAATTTTGAATATATGGAATGTGGAAAATTCTGTTGTGATTCCTCAAACCTATCATATAAAAATTCATGGCTTAGAGAGGCTTTATAAATGTAAGGAATTTGTCCATGTATGTGAATTATGATGAAACAACCAATGGTTAATTACATTCACTTCACCTTTTAAGTTCCTACAAATGAGGTCAGTTTCCTACCAGAACAACCCAGATCTTCATTGTCCCTCACAACAAATAAAATTTCTCCAGTTGTCAATAAATTATCTATTATGGTTGGGTTTTTTGAAGTTAGGAATCAAACCATTTTTCCACTTTGCCTTTTTATTTCTAGATGTTTCATTTGTCTTACACAGAACATTCTCCTACTTGTCTTGTAAAATGTTAAAATGTTCAGCGTTCTGATACAGCCAAACCTGTGACAGCTGGAACCTGTGTAAGTCAGAAACCTGTCAGAGAAGAAAAACTGGGTGTTTATGATGTACGATTTTTAATAGAGAGCAAAAGAAAAGTGGTAAACACTCAGTCAAAGGTGGAAAACATGCAAGACCTGGTAAAACAAGGCACTGCTATCGTTTCAGCTCTCATAGGTTTTACTGTATTTGTTTTATGATTTTGTTTAGTCTTCTGTATTTTTTGTAAGGTAGATGTTCAGTCTTGTACAGTTCTAATAGAAATGTAATGCACATGAAAGATGTAATCCAATATATTTTAGTAGCCATATTAGACATATAAAAATGTAAATGGGAAATTTTTAATTAAAAATTTTGTTTAACCCAATATGTCCATTTATTGTCAAGGTAAAAATTATAAATGAAATTAATTGATATGAATTATGTATGAGACATTTTACATGTCCTTATTTTGTGCTCCATCTACCAGAATCCAGAAGCAGCACATTTCATAAGTTTTATTGTTGGAAAGTAGATTCACAATCCCAGGTTACTCCAAGCGTACTTTTCCTTTAATTGAATCAAGTTTATTGTTACATTTAAATTAATAAAAATTAAGGTTTATCAAGTTTCTTAGTTTCACCAACCACATAGATTATTGACACAACCTTATTAGTGTTTTAGTACAAAAGAAGTCCCTGGATCACTTTTTGCTTTCCTGTTCCAGATCTGGAATCATCCCTTTCTCCCCAAACCTCTGGTTCGTTTTCAAAACTAAGGTGTGTACAATACATGGGCTCGGTGATAAACCAAAACCTGTTACCATTGAGTCAATTTTGTCTCGACCTTTCAGTGAGCATGTAAAATATATAATTTCTTATAATTCAAATGGTTATTCATAATACAGATTTAAGATTATATATATATATATATATATATATATATATATGAGTAGTGGTGCTGGACAATGTTAAATATGGAAAATGGTGCCAGACAATGTTAAATAGGCAAACTAGACTTTATTCAGTCTCTCAAGATAGGAAAGAGACTGCAGCATTAGTCTGAGTTCAACTCCAAAGGGTAAGGTGAGGTAAGAGGTTTTTCATGAGTTTTGGATGTCATGGGGCACTGGAAACTTAGTAATTTAAAGTTGTCAATCAAAAATATGCAGGAAGATGGGTTTTAAGCAAGAATTCTAATGGTTTTCAGAAATGTTTGCTCAAGGCTGATTTATTAGGCTGAAGCAAGGAACATTCATGGGATAAATGTAAATGGGCAAATCATGTCACTTTCTGTTATTTTATATTTGCATTTCTTTTGTATTTTAATAAAAACCTTGGTTCCAAGTAATATTCAGATAGTTTCAGTGTCATAATAGTACTACTGACTAAAAAATTTATTTCAGAGTACTGAGTTTTTTCACCTTTGTTTTTGTACTTACTGGTTGTACGTTTACGTTAAGGATATTAACACAAGATTTCCATGCTTAAACATTGGCTTGAGCACAAACTCTCTTGTGCATGGTTACGTGATCAGTTTGATACTGTTTGGTGCCATCGAGTTGGCTCCAGCTCATGGTGACCTTATTTATGCTGTTGTATGCCATGGAGTCGATTCCAATTCATAGCGACTCCATGTGACAGAGTAGAATTTCCCCATAGGTTTTTCTTGGCTGTAATCTTTACAGAAGCAGATTGCCAGCTCTTTCTCCTGTGGAGCTGCTGGGTGGGTTTGAAGTGTCAACCATTTGGTTAGCAGCCAAGTGCTAAACCATTGCACCTCCAGGGCTCCTTGACCTCCCAAATAACAGGACAAAATGTTGCCCATTTCTGCACCATCTTTGAGATTATTGGTATGTTTGAGTAGTGCCTTCCAACCCAGTGGGCTCATCTTTCAGCACTATATCAGACAGTATTCTGTTGTGAGCTATAAGGTTTTCATCGACTGAGTTTTTAAAGTAGATTGCCAGGTCTTCCTGGGCTGTTGACGTCTGTAAGCTCTGCTAATGCTTGTCCACCATGGGTGACCTTGCTGGTATTTGAAATACTGGTGGTGTAGCTTCCTATATCAGCAACATGCCAGCCATCACAGTATGTCAAACTTGCAGATGGGCAGTGGCAGTTTGATACGTTATTATGTTTATTTGTTTCTGTTTACATTTAATTTTAAGATTTGCTTTCATTTTGAATTACTCCTTTAACATATAAAACTTTCACGTGGTTCAAAACTGAAGGCTGTATGTAAAGATGTATTCAGAAGGTTCACTTCCTCCTGTAGTACCTGTGTTCTGTTAATATCACCACCAGTTGCTAATCATTTCCATTTTGTTTCCTGTGTAACCTTTCAGTGTTTATCAGAAATATCCCTCCTCCAGAATACATAAATACATATATGAGTGTATGTTGGTTATTTAGCATGTTTTTTTTTCACATAAATGTACTTTTCCCCAGTTAATAATATATTCTGGACATCAGTCTACTCAGTTCATTGTATAGAGAAGGCCAAGGCATAGGCATTGGCAAAGACTGTGGCCATGTGCGGTAGAGCTCAGGAGGGCTGGTGGGCTCTTTACTTCTGTCTCAGAATGTCCTTGGTCAGTGTTGTTTTGTGCTGTGGAGTCCATTCCAATTCAGTGACTATATAGGACAGAGTAGAACTGCACCATAGGGTTTTCTAGGCTGTAATCTTTATGGGAACAGATCTCCAAGTCTTTTCTACTGTAGTGTTAGGTGGCTTCTAAGCACTGACCTTTCAGTTAGCAGAGCGCTTAAGCACTGCACCACTGGGGCTTCTTGCTTGGCCAATAACCATGTGTAAATATTCTGATAGTTCACCTAATAGTACCTTGTTAGGCAGTGCTCATCAAGTGGTGAAGAAAAGAACCAAACGCCTTAAAGTCTTTAGATTTTCTTTTTGCATGTAGATGGAAAATTTTCAGTTTTAAACATATGGTTCAAATGTTTAAGTTTAAGATCAGTGATACAATTCCTAGCCCTTTAAGGCCCTTCTATTTATGGACAAGTATTTTTTTTGGCCTAGTCTCTGAAGAAACCCTGGTGGTGTAGTGGTTAAAGCACTCATCTGCTAACCAAAAGGTCGGTGGTTGGAACCCAACAGCTGCTGTGTAGGAGAAAGGTGTCGCATTCTGCTTCCATAAAGATTTACAGCGTTGGAAACCCTATGGACCAGTTCTGGTCTGCTCTTTAGGGTCGCTGTGAGTCAGTATCGACTCAATAGCAATGGGTTTGGTTTTTCTTTTGGTTTAGTTGGCTTCGAGCCCCCATCCATCTGTCCCTTTGTTGTACTATGGTGGCTTACATGTTGCTGTGATGTCTGGAAGCTATGCCACCTGTATTTCAAATACCAGTAGGGTCACCCAGGTGGATAGGTTTCAGCAGGGGTTCCAGACTAAGACAGACTAGGAAGAAATGCCTGGCAATCTATTTTGGAAAATTAGCCAATGATATCCTTATGGATCAGAACAGGATATTGCCCGACAGGAATCAAACATGTCAATGATCATGAAGATGGCACAGGACCACATTTTCACTCTATTATACATAGGGTCTCCATGAGGTGGAGCCTAATGGGCAGCTAGTAACAATCTCTGTGAGAGGCACAGACAGAAGAGGTTGGGATTCCTCAGCCACAGATCTGCAGTTCTGAGTGGCTCCAATAAATGATGTCGATGATCCTCCTAGCCTTTCTTAAATCTGTGTCTGAGCAGGTGTTTTTCTCATGGAGTGTTTGAAGAGGGCAAATCTCTGTTTTGGGATGCATAAATGTGGGAATGGAGCCGTGGTGACGCAGTGCCTAAGAGTTCAGCTGCACACCAAAAAGCAGTTCGAATCCACCAGCTGCTCCTTGGAAACCCTGTGGGCCAGTTCTACTCTGTCCTGTAGGGTTGCTGTGAGTGGGAATCGGCAACAGGTTTTTGGTTTTCTAAAGGTAGTGGTAATAACAACTGCAAAGTGATGTAAGATTGGTCTTTTCTCTGCCAGTAGAGTTGAGACTTTCAGTTTTAATCACTCGGTTCGGATTGTGCGGATGTAAGAGTCAAATCGTACCGGGTCCTGATAGGACTCGTTTCTCAGCAGGTGATTTAAAGCACTGCAGAGACCCTCAGCTTTTTAAATAACCTGGATTTGATTGTTTACACTGAAGTCTGGACAAAAGTATCCTGATCTCTAGGGGTCCTCAGGTCTTTGCCCGTGGAGAGAAGAGAGGACAAGGACCCAACTGGAGGGTTCCCACTGGATGAGATGTGTCTTAGACCCCTTTTCCCTCATGGCTGGTCAGTCCCCTTTTACCTGGGGACCCCTGTATTTCCCCTGGCGGAGACCTTATGGGGTCAAGTTCCTGCCAACCCCTTTACTTAGCTATGTGACCATGAGCAAGTTACTGGACTTGCTTTACCTCTATTTCCTCATGCTTCAAAATGAATATATAACGTCTTTCGCCTGGCACATGGATCGCCTCAACTCTAAGATACTGCTGCCTAGCGCCACCTCTCAGCCCCGCCCCCAGGACACCCCCACCTGATGCCCCTGCCCTTATCTCACCACATCTCTGCTCTCAGCCTGAACGGCCAAATATTGGGACACTCAGGCCACTTGGGCCGCTAGATGTTCACTTACACTGGGTCCAGTGGAGCAGCTTGAGA